TTCATCAAGGTACAAACAATGTAAATGTTCCCTCAAAGGCACAGCAGGGAGTTTAAGGTCTGATTGTGAACCTTAAATAAGTTTTTCCAGGTGAAAAGTTCGTATTTGTACCTTTTCATAGCCGAATGTTTTAAAACAGAACAGTAAAATAAAGTCCTGGAGACGAGACGGGGTGTGTGGAGTCAGTACAGCTTAGAACATATCATTTCAGTGGATTATGGTTCAGTTATGTTCCCTGACTAAAGGTACTGAGATGGAGCCTTGAGGGAACCTCCCCAGTGATAAGAGGGGGACTGTCCCAGTGACAGTTTAGTACCTTTATTTCTGAGTGTGTGTGTGAAATTGTTCATTGTAGAGATTAAGACATGAATGCAGTCCCATTATATATTAAAATGTGTTTACCCTGCATATACCTCTCCATTACAAATGAAAACAAAAACATTTTGGCAAAAATAATCTCAGAACTATCGTAAAACAGTGTCTCAGTCATCAAGCAGGGAATTCATAGCCACATCATGTAGTAACTTTCTGTGAGGGAGCTTTTAGAGGTGGACGTCTGGTTCCTATCACCACCACTGTGAACAGTTCTGACTCGGTTTCTCTAAAACGGAGAGTTTCACACCAAACCACTCTGAACGACTCTGTTTACATCTTAACCATTTAATTACGCCGAAATTTTGAAAAATATGTCGAATTCCCCTTTAAATTCAAGGTATGTAAACATAGTTTTATTACAAGTAAGTTTTAGACCCGTTAGTTGGCCGTGATAAAATTTAGCGGTTTAACATGGCTTAAAAATGTTAAAATGCTCTGATAAAAGCGCAACAATATCTTGCCTGCTGATCTACGCTAGGAAGGATGCAGACTGTGCAAACCCACAATGCTGCAGATCAGCTTCTGGAATATTCTGCAAGAATTACCTGCCCCCTCACTGTCGCTCTTCTTTTTCTGTTTCTTTTTTTATCGGCTTGGATCAAATACACAATTTCCTTCCTCAGCCTGAATGTAGTCAACATCAGAAATGGACAAAAGTACAGACAGAATTCAGTTTGAAGATGCCACTGTTTGTTTTTAGCTTTGCCGATGATTGTCGGCTCATATAAAAGGAGAATTCAACCGTAGTTTTATAGTTTCTACATAATTTCAGTGTTTGAGACGTAATCAGAGAGATTGAGAGGTTTGGTGTGAAATGGTTCAGATGTCTTTACAGTGGTGGTGATAGGAACCAGGGGTCACCATGACTACAACACACATATAGACATTTTATTTACTATCCAGAACCACCAGTGAACCTACACCAGTCTTCTGAGTTTATATGGAATGTTGATGATGGAAAATAGTGGAAAATCTGAAATAATAAAAGTTTTTTTTTTTTTAAATGCGTCTCAGGCATGTACGGCGGCATTTTGGGGCCACTGTTAATAAAAAAAAATAAAAATAGCAGGCTTCAAGAATAAAGTCGTAATATTTAGAGAAAAAAAGTTGTAGAATTACGACATTGTAGTGGCATTAATACCAGGAAAGATTGCGATATTCTGGCCAAAGGTTTTGCAAAGGGAAGGCAGCACCTCCTCGTGTTAAATGAGGGGCGTTGAGTTGGTGGAGTTACACTTTCATATCAATTTTACCCATAAAGAAATTCTCAGTCTCCCTTTTTATTTCCTTGAAATATTACGACTTTTCTCTTGAAATATTATGAAATGTTGTGACTTTATTCTCCAAATATTACAGCTTTATTCTCAAAATATGGTGACTTTTTTCCTCGAAATATTACAACTTTATTCTCGAAATATTACGACTTGCCTTCTGCCCAATGACAGCTGGGATAGGCTCCAGCACCCCACCGCGACCCAGAAGGATAAGCGGTTTACATGATGTGTGTGTGTGCGACTTTATTCTCGAAGTCCACTATTTTTATTTTTATTAACAGTGGCTCTAAAATGCTGTCGTAGGCGTGAATTCATAACCATTTCATGTAGGAACTTTCTGTGAGGGAGCTTTTAGAGGTGGACGTCTGGTTCCTATCACCACCACTGTGAGCAGTTCTGACTCGGTAAGTTTCTCTAGAGCAGAGCGTTTCACACCAAACCACTCTGAACCTCTCTGTTTACATCTTAGAGCGTTTAATCATGCATAACTTTAAAACATGGAATTCCACTAATAAAAGTGCTTTTATTAAGACATGTAAGGGGTCTTCTCTAGAGGGCTACTTTGGGGGATGTTTGTTTATTTGAGCTTGAGCTGTTTCTGTCCTCGACTCAGTATCGACAGCTAGGAAGCAGTTTGACCACTTTAATACTCACATGTGAACCAATCAAGACAATTATGATCCCGTTATTAATAATGATTGCAGTTATTTACGTGGCAATCGGTCGTCAATTAAACATGTTATGATGCTGACTGTTCTAGTTTTCCGTACTTGTTAGCTCCATAGTTTCAGTGCTAAAACTAAAGAAGCTTCTGATTGAAGAAGTTAAGGTGAGGAAAACTTTGGAAATGAGATTTTTGGCTGAACAGTTGCTTTAAATAGGCCACCTCCAGCGTGGCTCACCCTCAGGTGTTACTGAGTAACAGGACTTCCTCTTTATTCTTGGCTCCGGAGCTGATATCCTGACCAGAGCTTTGTTCCCAAGGGCCCACACCCTCCATTGAAGATGAACGGACCGTGCCCAGTGGCGGCATGCCCGGACTGGAGAGGGTTTCAGGGGCTTTTCTTCTGACCGAATCGCTGCTGTATTTATTATCGCACTGTAAGCCACCTCAGAAGACCTTTCAGTGTGTTTCCCCACCATGAAACCACATTAACCCCTAAACGCTCGTGCTCTTCAGGGGGTCCTTGAAGGAAGGAAGTTGGTGTAGTTTTTTTTCTCAGGCTCCTGTTCTGGGTTGTACTATGGTTTCTCAAAATTCACCAAGAACAGAACGGGTTTAGGAAGGTAAACAGGGTTCTTGAAGGAATAGTTTGATTAAAGACCTGATTTTTCATCCCCCGCCTCCCCCAGCTTCTTTAGTTTTAACACTGGAGCTAATGTAACTAACAAGTAATGGAAGCTTATACCCCACCAGTTAGCATCATACCTTAATCATCCAGCTCACCTCAAAGCGTGTGTTGTTCAGTATCTCTAACAGACTTGATGATGCGGTTTCTGACACTGTGTGACTCACTGTTATTTGTAAACAAAGTACATCAGCATAGCTAAAATTAACTAGCAACTATAGTGAAGACTGAATTTTGTTTCTATACTGGCCAATATGAGTTTATTTAGTTGTTGTCATAATGTGTTTTGTTATTAAAACAGTATATAAGACCAAAAAAATAGGAAACCTTGGGACATTAGGGTTCTTTGCATGGTGAATTATATGTTAAATATGGTTCTTTGCATGACATAAGGGTTCTTTGCATGGTGAATTGGTTCTTCAGATTGGTGGACAGCGTGTTTTATATGGTTCTATGTAGAACCTTTTTCAGTAGTTCCGCATAGCATCAAAAAAGTTTCTTCTATTGTCACAGGCTTGACATTGTTGCACTAGCCGAACCCTTTTGGGCGCTATATGGAACCCATTTGCAACAAGGTTCTATATAGAACCATACAAAACACATCGTCCATCAATCTGAAGAAACAGTTAACCATGCAAAACAACCCTTATGTCATGCAAAGGGTTCTTTGAGCACTCATGGTTCTGTATATTGGTTCTATTGGCATTGATGAACCCATCTTTTTAAAAAATGTACGTTTGGGGTAAGAGGACGCTTTTATAATAGTATTGGTTTGTTCCTTCTTTCGTTTTACTCTTTTCCGGGCCAGTTTGTTCCTATTACCCAACATCTTCATTCCCACACCGACTTCCTTCAGAGGCTCTGTTTTGCCTTAAGTCTCATGAATTGGCTGTTCAATGGTGATTTGGGTGATTTGTCAGCGGTTTCTGGTAAACGTGTTTGTGCTGCTGCACTGTTTCATTAGCCGGGTGTTTGAATCATGAAGGCAGACGGCGCGGAGTCGGTCTGTTTACCTGAGCGGTCTTCACATCCTTTAATGACTGTTCCTGCCAAAAAGACCAACCACAAATTACCCCTCTGCTCTGCAGGCCGTCCGCATTACATGTTTTGCATTGTCGAATGAAAGAAGTCTGTACATATTATTAGCTTGGACTGCGACATCGCTCTGAATTTAGAACTGAGAGCCTGTATTTCACACCAGGTATGACATGATGTTTACGGTTCTCTCTTAAAGGTCCACGTATAACATTTGCATGTTTGTATGTTTACCAAAAACAGTCATAATTAATTTTAACATGACCATTTTCTTATTTAAATAGGTTGTAACTGTGTCTTTAAGAATGATATATGCAAATGAGTTGTGTTTTGATTGGCTGGCTCTTTCAGAAAGCAGTCCTGGCTGAAACACTTCTTCTGTAACTTTAGTGTAAAAGGCTGGGGCTGAACTGCTGTAGGCTGATTAGGTGGATATATATATATAGTTCAAGTTCAAATTTGCTTTATTGACATGACAAATGTACATTTGTATTGTCAAAGCACAACAAAAAATGATCTATATATTAAAAGTTAATAAAGAAAAATATATTAAAAAAAAAAATAATAATAATAAAACAAAATACAAACCAAGATTAATATATGATAATGTAATAATTAAGAACAGAAAGTGTTAATCATAAATTAATAATATAAAAGTACATGTAATAATAAAACAAAACCTATTGAATATGTGTGAGAGGGGTAGAGAGAGATATATATGGAAACGTTTTGTCTTTGTGACATCACAAAAACAGTTAATTCAAAGCCGGCTGTGTCAAAATCTCAAAAATGATAGTTTGTCTTGATGTGGGTCCTTTAACTTAAAACCAGGCTGCAGAGGAGAGTTAAATATTTAGGACATCATCTTGAAGAATCTTCCACTAAATAAATTTTTGTTAGTGACTTTCTGTCCAGCGAATTTAGGTGTGTTTTAACATTTCTAACTGACTGTGTTTTTCCTCTCCAGGGTGAATCGGTGAAATATTTCCTGGATAACTTGGAAAAACTTGGAATGCCGGTAAGCATCGCCTGTATCATCCCATAAAAATATTTACAGTTTCAGCTTATGGCTTCTAGCCTTTCACACACGCACAGTTTCATAGGTAAGTATTTCTGTTAAGTGATAGTTTGGCTGGAAACAAGGACACATAATGTTGATGCAAAGCACCACTCTCACTCTATAATGATGATCATGATAATAATAATTATTATCATTATAATAACTTTGTTTATAGATCACCTTTCACACTGGTGGCAGCTCAGAGCACTTTTCTGATAGAATTCAACAGTAATAAAAGAAATTATTGAGTTTATCTTCTGTTATTGTTACTCTTTAACTTATAAGGGGGAAAAAAATAAATAAAAGTATTAATTTAAAATCATTTAAAGCAATTACAGTGATCAATTCAAAAGAGTAACACAAAAAGAGAAGTAGAAATGTGATTAAAAGCTAAATTAAAGAGATGTGGGTGAAGTGTGTACCGAGCTTGGCTGTGAAATAAAAGTTATAATTGAGTTCCACAGTTTAGAAGCAGAATAACAGAAAGGGGCCACTCATGATGCGTCAAAGCTATTTGAGTGCTTTTTGGCGCCACCTTGTGGAGAATATTCAGCCTGCAAAACGGGAGTTACTCGCCACCATGAATCAGGTCTGTTAGAGATTACTGAACAACTCCACCCAGTTTGAGGCATTAAGGCATGTAGGATAAGGGCTCTTTAGGTTTGTTTATCAACATGGAAGTTGATCATGGGGTCTTTAAAATTTCGCATTTGACCGTGAGCCTCCATTACTCGTCAGCTACATTAGCCTCGTAGCTCTAGTGCTAAAAACGGAGAACTACACTACATGTAAACTGTGTATCTGGCTAAATTATCGCTTTAATTCTGGAGTATTAAAGCACGTGGATCACCAGCTCAGCGTAAGTGCCGATGTTCTGTTGTGAGTGTATTTTCTATACGTGTATCTGGTTGAAATAGCTGCGTGAGCCGCAGCAGCGGAGGGTCAGGCGCGTCTGTGGGCCGGATGTGTGCGAGTGCGTCCGTTACTTTGTGCTGTTCTCACGCAGCTCTGGGTGGAGGAGCTCTGGCGAGTGCACACACACACACACACACACACACACACACACACACACACACACAGAAGGAAGTGAAAGTGGTCATGTGCTGCACACTGCAGGCCGTTATACAGCTTTTAAAGTGACAGTTCAGCAAACTCGTTTATGTGACGCGTTTGGTGTCTGAAGTTTTGCTTCTTTGGTTTCAGCACAGGCGCTACAAAGCTAATGTAGCTAATGAGTAAAGGAAGTTTAAAGGCACCAGTTAGCATAGAGCTAAATCTGCGTGCCTTAATCATCCCACGCTCCTCAAACAGTGTCAGATGTTGTGTAATTAAAAATAGTAATACATTTTATTAATATAGCACCTTTTATACATTTGAAGTGCTTACAAGGAGAAAATCAAATAATTGGTAACAGAAAAATAAAGAATTGGAGGGGAAAAAATGTAGTAATACTAAAAATGAATCATTCCAAAACAAAACACACACACTTAAAGACGGTTCGCGCTCATATTGCAAATGAGATTGTAGCTACTCTGAATTTTTTTCAAAGGAAAAAAAAAGACTAAACTGCAGTGTAAAAATATTTATTGAACACTGAACATGTTTAACATCCCAGCAGACGCACCAACAAAGCACAATGACTTAAATAAATTGGCCAAAAAAAACATAAATAAATACCCCCCCCCAGTAAAAGTAAAAATAAAATGTCAGTGTGACTTCAATAAATTAGTAAAACAAAATATTTTTATTTTCCCCCCCAAAAAAAAATACAGTATGACCATATTATTTAACATAAATAAGTTAAGATGTACCAACTTGACAATTCAGCAGAGCAATGTCTGCAAACGCCCGTTCTTGGGTCATTCACTGATTAAAATGCTTCCGCACAGACGACGTGTTTGCTGCATTTACAGAGAGCGTCTTGCTCCACGCTGCTTTTATCGCGTTGTAAAATTGGGGTTTGTGTTTCTTTAAGGAGGAGAGAGAGAGAGAGAGAGAGAGACAGACAGACAGACAGAGAGAGAGAGAGAGAGAAGAGAGACAGACAGAGACGAGAGAGAGAGAGAGAGAGAGAGAGAGAGAGAGAGAGGAAGAGGGAGAGAGAGACAGACAGAGAGAGAGAGAGAGAGGAAGAGGGAGAGACAGACAGACAGAGAGAGAGAGAGAGAGGAAGAAAAATAGCGTCATTAAAAACGCCATTCTTCGGTCTTATTTGGCCGAACACCGAATTTTTTTTTATTTTTTTTTCCCCCATTTTCGACCAAATAATTTCGGTTGCTGAATATTTCATCCCTAATAAAAATGATTGAAACCCGGAAGTGAAGGACGTAAGTGCTGTAACCGGTGCAGTGATATAGAAAAGGCTAATAGACTTCCATAGTGGTTTCTGTATGACACCCTGTTACCTATTAACATGAATCATTACCTGTTAGCTACATCAGCCTCGTAGCTCCGGTGCTAAAACTAAAGAAGAAAACTTCAGACACTGAACACGTCTCAGCTGACTGACTACACTGGGGGTCGGAGGGCCGACTGTACATTTAATTCCACCTAACTGTCTCTTTAATGTCCCCATAATGCCCTGTTTATACCTCATTATGCAGAGATCTGACTGTAGCCCAGAGTGTCGAATGTGATGGAGGTCTTGCTGCACAGTGAAGACTTACAGTGGTAAACACAGGATGATGAATGTTTGAGATGTAAACGCTGCGTAGCGTGAAGGAGGTGTGTAGCTGATCTGCCACTGTGATGAAAGTGTGGTTTTAGTGAAAGCTGCTTTCTTAAGAAGCTGAAAATCTGCTCTGGGTTTCAGTCTCAGCCCTGCAGTGCTGCTGCATTACAGATCACTGATAACTGTTAGAACACCCACTGCTACTCATAAACACTACAAATCAATACAAATAAAGAGATTAAGAACATATTAATATTCATTAACTTGCATCCAGAAGAGTGCGTCAAAGGTAAAGCCACAAAAGAATTTTAAATACTACTACTACTAATAATAATAATTTTAATAAGAATAGATAATAGTAGTAATAATAAACTCAAAGAATTCTAAATACTTCTGCTAATAGTAGCAGTAGTAGTAATAATAATAATAATAATAATAGTAATAATGATAGGTATGGTGCATCTTGAATACAGAAAATACAAAAAAAAATGTTAGAAAGGGTAAAAATGAAGCCACAGCTGTACTGTAAATGAAAGAAAGTTGCAAATAATATGTATAAATACATTTTAGCATCAGAAATAAATTTCAAATAAAACATCCAAAATTAAAAATGACCTTATAGCTACAAAAAAGGGCAAATAAATCAAAATGGAAAAAAATAAAGCTTTTAGCCTCATAAACAATGCATCTCGAATCAAGTCACAAAAAATTGCAAATAAATAAAAAAATAGCAAAATAAATAGCATCATCTCAAATAAAGCCACAAAAGTATTTAAATTAAATAAATTAAAAATAAAAATGGAAACAAAGCTTTTTATTAAAAAATGTAAAATAATTTTAAAGTACATCACAACATTATTGTAGATAAAAACTGAAATGAAAGCTAAATGTTGTAACATCAGGAAAGGCGCTGAGAGCCGTTGATTTGTTTTGGAAATGTTGGCGTGTGGGCGCAGCAGCGTCTGTCTGTCTGACTGTCTGTGTTCACCATAAGCAGCTTCACACTCCTCATTAGTTATTAATATCCCTTTGTTTACCGATCGGGTTATTCAGGCTTCCTCTTACGTTTGCTCTGTCAACAGTGAGGCTCACTGACACGGATCTGCTCATCCAACGGTTCTCTGATCTGTATCTGTTCCACAGTGACGCAACAGCGCCCGTTAGCTTTACGTCAGGCGGCCGCTTGGCGTCAGAGCTCAGTCGGCGTGTTTCTCTCTCTGAGCTCAGGCAGGAAGTTGGTGGTTTTTCTCTCCTGTTGATGTTGATGTTGGTGAGTTCTGTGAGGAGCTGAATCGCCGCAGCGTCTGAACCTTCACTCAGAACGCTGACGTTCCGCGTCAGATAACGAGGGTTCTGTCTTACAGCGCTAACGTCACTCGCAGTGACAGCTCAGAGTCTCAGACATCCGCCTGCTCGCTCTCTCTACACCCCCCTCTCTCTCTCTACCTCTCTCTACCGCTCTCTACCCCTCTCCTTCTCTCTACCCCTCTCTACCGCTCTCTACCCCTCTCTCTCTACCCCTCTCTTTCTCTCTACCCCTCTCTCTACCGCTCTCTCTCTACCCCTCTCTTTCTCTCTACCCCCTCTCTCTCTACCCCTCTCTTTCTCTCTACCCCCTCTCTCTCTACCCCTCTCTCTACCGCTCTCTACCCCTCTCCTTCTCTCTACCCCTCTCTTTCTCTCTACCCCTCTCTCTCTCTACCCCTCTCTCTACCGCTCTCTCTCTACCCCTCTCTTTCTCTCTACCCCCTCTCTCTCTACCCCTCTCTCTCTACCCCCTCTCTCTCTACCCCTCTCTCTACCGCTCTCTACCCCTCTCCTTCTCTCTACCCCTCTCTTTCTCTCTACCCCTCTTTCTCTCTACCCCTCTCTCTACCCCTCTCTCCACCCCTCTCTACCCCTCTCTCCACCCCTCTCCACCCCTCTCTACCCCTCTCTACCCCTCTCTCTGTACCCCTCTCTTTCTCTCTACCCCTCTCTCTCTCTACCCCTCTCTCTCTACCCCTCTCTCTACCGCTCTCTACCCCTCTCTCTCTACCCCTCTCTCTACCCCTCTTTCTCTCTACCCCTCTCTACCCCTCTCTCTCTCTACCGCTCTCTCTACCCCTCTCTCTACTGTTCTCTCTACCGCTCTCTACCCCTCTCTCTCTACATCCCTCTACACCTCTCTCTCTACCCCTCTCTCTACCTCTCTCTACCGCTCTCTACCCTTCTCTCTCTACACCCCTCTCTCTCAACCCCTCTCTCTCTACCCCTCTCTCTCAACCCCTCTCTCAACCCCTCTCTC